TGGAGGGTTTGGGGGCTAGGCTAGGTCTGAACAAAAAAATCATCCTCTTTCTGGGCCAAAACGAAGCAACCCTTCCTTCACAATGCACCCTTCTGATCCTGCGAGCGACTCTTGGGCTTTGGCACATGTTCGATGAGCATTAAACAGTCGTATCTACGTGCCGCGCCCAGAAGCCAAGAGGCTGCATCGGAGAGCTGCAATCGAGGATGAAAGGCCAGGTGCAAGTGCACCTCATCCGTGGAGAGTTCGAAGACACCCAGGCACTCGGGAAAGGACCGGTTGACCCCTCAAAATGAATGGTTTTCGGTCAAGCGTTTTCGGTGAAGCGTTTTAGTGCCATGGCACCCAGCACCATGGGAAGGCAGGCACCGACAGAATGGACGCCCCAGCTCCCACCCATGAGAGTGAAGCTACTATAGAGTGCTTCGTTGGGCCTCCGGCTTTGGAGGCGTATTGGGGGGCAAGATCCACTCTGAGACCCTCTCTGATCCAGCTGAACACCAGGCTCCGCCAGGTGTTCGATCGACCCATTAGGAGCTTCATGATCTCGTTCGAACGGACGGGAGGAGGGGGATCAAGGCTTAGGACGAAGCAGGGCAGCAAGCAGGGCAGCAAACAACACACAGGACTTTGCCAGTGACCCAACTTCAGAATTGGTGAGTGACCTTTTCAAGACCCATGTGACCGAGCAGTGACCTCAGCCACCATCTCATGTGACCGGTCATTGGGAAGAGATGGACTGGAGCGATTCATGTAGAGAATCTCTCGAGGCCCTTCTTATGTGAGTCCACCCCCCCCAAAACAATATCAAGTAGACTGTCGATGAATAACCCACCCGATCCAGAATGCTTTCACCATGTTTTACATCTTCATATCATGCCCTAGGGATCCAGTCGTACCTCCTCAAAAAGTACTTGGACCCTCCTGGCACCCACCCCAGTCCCACCTTCTCAGAAAATACCTTGGATCCTTAGGGATGGGTGCTTTCCTTAAATCAACCTAGTCAACATGGGCTCGTGCCACCATGGGGTCCTTGCACCTCGGAGTCGGGGGCACATCGAACCCATGTGTTGTTCGGCCGTCCAACCGGGCGACTGGGTTGAATGGAGTTCCTCCATGGAGCCACTCAAGGACTCACTCCGTGCGGTTGAGGCGGACATGGCACGTTCTCGTCTGGTCTTTCAGTGGTTGATCCTGTTGCGTCCTCTTAGACGTAGGCCCGAAGATCATTGAAGTCTTCCAAAGGTTACCATCAGGGCTTCACATCTGCCCTACGTCCTCAAACAAAAACCGTTGACCAAAAGGGTTGAGTCAATCCCGTTCAACATGTTGTGGAAGGAGTGTGAACTCCGAGCTCTTCCTCTTGAGATCAACGAGTCTCATGCCAAGCCCAAACCCTTTCGCGTCTTTTGCCTCACGTTTGTTCTGCCCCGAGACGTGGCAACCCATCAAACATTCCCCACATCTTCCGCTTGCATCTCCCGCTCCATCTTGGGACTTCTGATGGTCTACTGTATCGAAGAAAAACGACCCTCAGACCGCCAAACCGTCCATCCGGGCGCTTGACACCGATGGACACCGATACGCTTCGATTGCTCGGCCCCCCCCGCCATGCTGCGGCCACTCTTCGCAGTTCTTCCACCACCGCTTGGGCGCGCGTTGGGCGCGCGCCAGACGTGCGGCGCTGGATCGCGTGGGGAGCGGAGTGGAGGGATCGGGTTTTGCGAAAAAGGTGGTTAGATAGTTACTGACATATGATCCGAAGATCTTGATTCTCATGCATACTTGCACTCAGATTCATCCAACAGGGTTGCGCTTCTTGCGAAAAAGGACGTTTGAGAGTCATTGGCTCTTTGACAACATGAACCCTCAACATCTACTGGGGACATCTAGTGCCAGTCTTAGTCCATATGCACCTGGAAATAGGAAGTCTTGATCGATCTTCACACAGGTCTTGCTGACAGACCAATCCACCGAGGCTGCTTCAGATTTGGTGTTCTGCTTTTGCGTCAACGTTTCACATCCATCCAAAATGACCGTTCAAACTTTGATAGACTTTAATTCAAACTGAATTTAAGATGTTTTTCATGGTTTTTCATCAAATTGATTCGTAGATATTTGCAGACGTTGCACATCTGATGTTACATTCAAACACCTTTCAAGTTGATTTGACTTTGCTTCTCTCGTCCTCACACCGAATCGAACCGTGCCCAAGCGTGACTGCCACGCAGCGACCAAACACACGCGATGCAACGCACGTGCGACGCGGGTCACGCACGGTGAGTGAAGGGCGATGGTTTTCTTGGGGGGGAGGAGGTTGAAGTTCTCTTGGTTGTCGGCAACAGCTTTTTGAATGATATACTTTGGGTACTACTTCGGGTCGCCAAATAGATAGGATTGCACGGTGTCCAAGACATTTTCAGTGGGGATCTACTTTTCGAACTCTTTGGGGATATCCCATGCTCCCAGGGCCCTGTGGATGATCGTAAAGGGCTTGTTCAACAATAGTGATAATCGTGCACCAACTGTACGACTTCAACAGGCATACCAGCTGAACCATTTCGACACATCCGTAGAACCATCGTGTCAAGACCAGTTCCCAAACACTCCATGGGACTGCCATAGGACTGCCGATCAATTGACCCCCCTTTCAACCACCCCAACACCAACTGATCGGCAGTCCGGACTGGCAGTCCCATGGGTCGTGTCAAGACCAGTCGATCAAGAAAAAAACTGTACCGTACCCGAACAAACCATGAACGTGTCCTGTCTGGAGGTCTGAAGTACGGCGGGCTTCCAGATGAAACCGGGCGGAACGTTTCCCCCCCAAGAAGTTCGGTGCCCGGTGCTGACATGTGGTTCTATGTTCATTCCTTCTGCCCACAATTAGGTCAGGGACGGAGCATTTGACTGGAGATTCATGAACAAAAACACAGGAACCCAATGAGATGCAAAGAGGACCAGGACACCAGCAGACCTGGGTCTGGAGGCTGGACCGTTGACCGGATCTGGGCTGTTCACCAAAACGGGAAAGACCTCCGCTCTCAAGACGGGAGGGCCAGTGCCAAGGTATGTGAGGTAGATGTACTGGTGATCTCCAAGCATGTCGCAACCCCATGCTGCTGACACTGAACCAGCGAGGGATGACACCATTATTCCCCAAAATCAATATCATCTGCAACTCCAAGCAACACATTATAGCTGCAAAACATTAGTGAACGAGTTGAATTTGCAGGCCTTCAAATTGGTACCTGCAAGCTGCAAAAAGTTCAAAACATTCCCTGAAACAAACATGACACGTGTTTCAACAGGTAGTGTATACATCGTTCAACTGAACTCTACTTCTTGGACTTTCTCGGGAACTCCTAAAAAAGAGTGAAACACCAACTAAATCTATTTATACCATCCATCCAACCCATCCGTTGCTCCACAAAACGCGCCAACCACGCACCAAACACCCACTTCCCTGGCGGTTCAGGTTGGCGCCCTTTTTGCGGTTCCACCTCCCCCGCGCTGCGGGTCTCGACGCGGCGGCACATGGAGCCACCACATATGGTCCACACTCAGGTGGAGCCTGGGAAGCTGCGAACGCCGCACGCGCACGGAAGACAACGCCGACCCCAAACGGACGGGCAAAGCCGTAGACCGACCTACGGCTTTCCTCAAGGCTTTCTGACAGGAAAGACTGGAAGACTGGAAGAAGGACATACCAGCGTTCCCAAAAGCTGAAGACTTGGTGGTTGGTACCGACAATGGGACAATGGGACATGACCCGAACGAAAAGCAAATATCTGCATACTCCGAGCTATATAATGTGAAAACCGGGTCGACTCCGTGTACTCTCTTCGCCCTTTGGTCGACTCCAACCACCCGCAGAAAGGTCGCATGGAGTCCCCACCCACCCGAAAGAAACATCAGCAAGAACGGAATGCGCCCAGCATTCCGAAACCCGTTTGGCCTCCGTTTTCGTACCTTTGTTTCCGTTTCGGTGGGACTGGAGGCCCCGGGTGCTACTGGAGGGTCCAGTCAGACCGAAGCGGTTTGGAGGTACGACTGGAGGTGTAGGACAAAAACATGGCGAACTTGCAGCCGAACCCTTTTCGGCCCTCATCCAGCTGGGGTTTTCGGTTTTCTTCCTCCTTCCAGTCACTGAACACCGAGCTGCTCGAGCTTCTTCTCGCTCACGAACTCGTTCACAGCCGCCACGACGCCTGCGTCGTAGCCGCTGTAGTCGTGGCCCGCCAGGATGCCATGGGGGCGCACGAGGGGCCACCACGACCGCAAGTCCAGGTAGACGTCCTCAAGCCGGACGCTGGGCGCTGTTGGTATGGACCGGCATGTGGGATTTGTCACTGTGGGATAGATAGATATCCCAGACACGACCTGTCTGGGACTGCCATTAGGACTGCCGCGCCATTGAACCCCCGTGGGCACCACCCCATCGGCAATCCGGACTGGCAGTCGCATGGAGCTCGCGTCTGGGGATATACCCTAAAGGCTCAGTGGCAGGACCCGACCCGTTCGCAGTCAGGGCTTCGACCCTCACAATGCAGTGAGCCTCTAGGACTGTAAACATACTGACTGATAAAAGACTGTATACCAGATCAACATATAGATCATACATATATGTTATCATGTGTTTGTCATTACTTGTGGTGAGAATGATAAATTGTTGCTTGATGTACGAGTTGACTGGTACCACTTCTTGCAACCCCGATTTAAAAAAGAAAAGCACAAAAACAACTAAACCGAAGGCCGAAGGACTGAGACCCATCGATTTGAACCTTAAGCAAGATCGAACTTCTGCCTGACATTGTCAGGCAGAAGCGCCCAGTCAGTTGCGTCTCATGGTTCGGTAATACCTCTTGGTTCACCACGTTTTTTTTATCGTTTTTCCAGGGACCAGTCACTGAACAGCCCAAATCCACGCTGTTTGCGTGCCACGCTCCCTGCACCCTCCCTGTGCGCCCCAAAACGCTCGTCGCCCGCGTGCCTGGTAACTATGGGAGCCATCTACAAAGACGAGATCCGCCCTTCTGCCAGAGCGTGCGAAGCGCTCGGCAGCCTGGACGGAGCTCATCTGCCAGAAGTTGCTGCGATTCTGGAAGGTCCTGGCAGTTGTTCGGAACGGATCCAGGGGTCCGGAGGGAGGCTTTTGGTGGGTTGGGCGTGGGGAAATGGCCTGCATCCAGCTCGCTCGATGTGGTGCACAGTGGAAAAAAGAAAGAGAGATTGAGATCTCTATATGGGGTTTTGGGATTCCACCCCACTGAGAAAGAGGTTCGGTGTAGGATTCGGTTCCCAATTGGTTTTCATGTGGGTATGTAGCTCAAACAGGGAGACCTCCCAGGCGTCCCCCCCGGAAGAAGGGAAATAGACTACAACCCATTGGGGCAGGGCCGGGCAGGGGGTCTCCCTATTAAAATACACACTCATGTGCTATTACCAGTAATGGGAAACTCTAGAACCTTTGGGAATGGACATAGCCACCAAATTGTGTTGCAGATGATCCCAACAAAAAACGACAGCGTTCCTTTGCATCATAGACTCGCCACACAAAAAAGGACATAATGAGAAAAAACATGGAGAAACACATTAAAAAAACAGAAAACACTTATTTCGGGAGCTCCATCCAACTCCCTCCGCTTACTGCACAGCACAGTTCGTTCACGGCCCAGGTCCTTCTCAACTCGTTGGCCAAAGGCTTCGCTTGGATGTCCTGAGCGCCGAGCACCACGCAGACCCCCGGGCGGACCGACAGGTCGTCGTGGTGGGCGAAGCCGAGATGTCAGTAAGAGACCTGGAGTCGACCTGGAACTTGCACCTCTGTAAATGAGTGATCTACCATGATCTACCTGTTGTTGGTTCGGGTCATGTCCCATTGTCCCATTGTCGGTGCGAACGAAGTCAGGTACGTTCGGGACACGGATTGTTTGTTTGAAGTCTTTCCGGTGTTCCGAGTGTTTTCAAACAAACAATCACTTGACACCCTAAACCAAAGATCCCTCAATCACTTGACATGCCAGCAGTCACAAAGGGGTGGTGCTTGGTCCCTAAGTGAATGGATAATGGGCACTCCGAACCTCCATGGATCGCACCCCGTCTTGTGACTGCTGGTGGATTGTTTGTTTTCCGGTGTTCTAAGTAGTCTTTCGGAAGTGAACTCAGTCTTCGATCCGTCTTCGATGGGATCGACATCCATGATCTAGCGGTCTAGGCACCAGGACCCATCGAGCGGTCGACACAGCAATCATAGGTGTTATAATTGAAAGCAATAAATGTCACTCCCAGTCACTCCCTTTGTCCGTGACTAAGATTATTGTAAGATCTGTTTGAAGAATTACACTTTTATATTGGATACCTCTCAAGACAACAGCCCAGCAGGCACCTCGACTCATCGTCATACGCCTGAACCTTCCTTCGCGGGGGACAAGCACAGTTCGTTGGTGCGAGGGTCGCGTGTGTTACACATGCATGCCTACATCAACCCCTATGTCCAACTACTCCCACTGTAATGGTATTAGTACGCCATGCTGTATTGGATCTGATCATATGTATCTTGTCGATGGTTACAAAAGTAAAAAGGAGGTTACCTGAATCTGGGACAATTGTGATCCTTGAGTCTGCCATATGTCCGTACGATAACCGCTGAACATACACCGAATGGAAGGTTTGTACACCCGCACCAGATCGTCGATGCTTCGTGCAACCCGCTTTGCAACTTCGTGGTATGAAGCATCGTGAAGGAGGCACTACGGGACTCCGTCCGAATCATCATGAATTCTTGAAAAACGGTGAACTGGAAGGGATGAGGATGAGGATGAACATAACAGGATGATGAGGATGATCCAACTAAGGCTCATTATTGTTTTATTGGGTAATCCATGAGGGTTCGCCTGCTTCAATGGCCCGATGACTGCGTCTGGCCTTTCTCTTCTCACTTCCATCGCCCAGCATCCACTGAGAGCATATGGAGACACGGGATGGACTCCCTAAGTGAAGAGAACGTGGACTGTGGACCGATGAATTTCGATCCGCAACAGCTTGTCCTTGTGGGGAAAGGGCAGTATGTTGCAATACAGTATTGAGATTTGCTTGCTCAGAACTGGGAAAACATATTCACCTTTTGGAGAGAAAGCGGATTCACCTTTGGAGAAAACAACACATCCCCCGAGAGTCTCCTTCTTGAAAGCCAAGACATGGGAAATCCATGGCCAGAAGTGGTTGGTTGTTTTAACTCACTTGAACAAATATGAGTCAGTGGGCTGGGTTCACTGATTTAATCCAAACATAACAAATACCCGGAATTACCACAGAGAAGTTGTTTCATGGATCCTTGGGGGCTTTAGGAGCCTTTTTTCTTCCTGGTGGCTTGACACTCTCTAAGTGCTTCAAAAGAGAAGCCCAAAGAAGGAACTTCCGGCTCTGCTTAGTCAAAGCCACTGCATATTTACCAAAAGTAACACATCATGTGATCGGCTAAGACAACTTTCCATGATCGGCTCAGAGTCAAAAGAAAATACCCAGACACTCCATGGGACTGCCATATATGCCGCCCCATTGAACCCCCCTGGCACCACCCCAACTGATCGGCAGTCCTATGGCAGTCCCATGGGTCGCGTCTGGGATAGGTGAACCTCACAGTGAACCTCCAAACGAAATCATTTTTCGCCGCCCTTAGGCCCCCCTTTAACTACCGCTGCAGTCGAGACGGCCCTCTGAACACACTCGACGAACACTCGGCCCCTTTCGGAGCGGGTCTTACGAGACCGACTGGTGCGACAAAAGGACCCTCCGACGAACAGACCACATGGAGGTGGAACAACTCTCTTGGCAAAGGAAAACTAGTAGCAAGAACCTACTAGTTTGCAACCATCGCTATGAGGTTGGAAGCCATTACTACTAGTAACAAGAAGCTACTAGGATTTCCTTCTTCCTTTCGGCACCATGCCATCCACTTCAGATGTGCTCGTCAGAGTGTAGATAGAGAATGAGGGAAGTTTTGCCACAGACCTCCGGATCCATTCATTCCTCATACGGGTAGTTTTTTTCTTCCAGGTGGTGTTTGGGAGGTCTCCTAGTGTCTCCCTATTTTAAAACACACCCAATACTAAGAAGCAATCAGTTGTATGCTGCTCTCCTTGCGGGATGTTTGAACAAAGCGATGGCCGTTGGCCGTTTGCGAGGTCTGCTTGCTGTTTGCAAAGTGCTTGGCTGGTACCTCACCATGTTCTACAGCAATCCATCCAAGGTTCAGAAGCCAGGCATCTGTGCGACCGCTCCCAAAGCCAATCTGAACCAACTCTACACAATGCCGTCGCTGGGTGTCCTCTGCCACACACTGGACCATGTGTGCGCGCAGCCAACCTCTGTCAGGTTGTTTAAAGGCCTCGACCATCGCGAGACGTGTTGATTGTTGAACATGCCAGTTTAAAGCTGTCGTTCAAAAGGTCACTGTAATCATGGCAGTCATGTTCTGGATGATGTGCAACTGTGTTATCATGTTAGATCGTCCGTCCACCACAGAAAGATTCGGATAAAGAACACATGGCCAGTTCACCAGGGAGTTTCTCACCCGATATATAAACATACAGGATGGTAGCTCCATCATGCTCCTCCATAGGAGTGGAATATGTAACCCTTTTTGGTGGATTGAGAGTAGATGCCACAAATGTCCAAGTTTGGTGCAATTTTGCACCCCCATCTGTCTAAGACATCTTGGGGTGCCAATGCCATCGAACCTCTGAAACCACTGTACATTGGGTGGTTCACATGGGGCTCATATTGGATCTTCTTCCAAGACCTTCAAAAGAGTTCGGTTGACCTGTTGTTGTAGTACATTCCTTATTAATGGTTGTTTGGTACATCCTTTAAATATCTTGGAACCAATGGTTGTTGGAAGCCTCTAAGGCTTCCATCTATCGTTTGGGTCGCATGGCTTTCAGCTGGCTTTCGTGGTCGGCGCGCTTCCCAAACCACTCCTTGGGACCCTCATGAACATGACCCCCATGCCTGTATGCCCATCCGGGATCCGGGATCCGTACCGACCCGGTACGGGGTCTTAGATACCCTCAAATGACTGAAGGGGTCTTATATATAGTCTACTAGACTATACCCTATAAAGGATCCGTTTTCATACCGAACCGACCCGGCAGCTACGGGGTTTCGGAGACACTGAGACACTGAGACAGGAGAGACGGGAGAGGGTCCGAGCCCTATAGGTCTGAGCATGTATCCACTGATCCGGCTTCCTGACCCACCATATCATTTCATAGGCGGATCATCCCGAATCAACGATTTGGACACGACAACGTTCCCAGGATCGTTCCGATTTTTGTTCATGGTCTTTCCAGAAGTCGTTCGTTTTCGGGTCCCGGACTTAAGCACTCTGGTCCTTGGTCCGCACCTGGACGTCCAGTCCAGGGCTTCGATTCAAGTCGGACTACGTATGGTATTTTTCCCGGATGGGCTCCAGGAGGTTTCCTCCTCAGGTTCGGTATGACTGGACTCTCCTGGCACCCACCCCAGTCCCACCTTCGAAACGGTTCGGTACGACTGGAGCCCAAACGGGTTTTAGATCAACCACCCGCACTGATTGGCCGTCCTATGGCAGTCCAGTCTGACGTGGGACTGCCATGGGTACACGCGATGGGTTTTTCGTTGCGTGTACCTGGAGCAACCCCCTTTAAAAAAGGGACCATGACCTATATACAACAACAGCGTATTACTGGTACTCATGTTTAGAGGTACTGTGAGGCTCTCCAGGTGCATGTATTTTATAGGTTCTCAACCTTGTGGGGTCCAAGAATGGACGAAACACGGCAGGTTTGGGGCATGGGACATTCGGTGACTTGTTCAGTACTGGCGCGAGCGAGCGCGAGCGCGGCATTCATGACCATCGACGAAACCACAAGCTGCAGCACAAGTCCTTGTGGGCCACTGTATTCAGCAGCTGATGAAGGACACTGCGGCGAGAATACCTGGCTGTGCAAAGAAAAACCAATGCACTGCAAAGGATAGAAGTGGATCAGTTACTCGATGGTCTTAAAGAAATTATGGGGCCATTCTCCATCTGCGAGTTTCACGGAACTTTGAGCGCGAAAAAATCCAAGCTTAACATGCTTAACCATGGTACACTCTTTCATAGCTTGATTACCGAAGAATCCTCGGGGTCTGTAGATGTTGGACACTCCAAAAAAAAAGGGGTCCGGACCCTCAAACGCCTTCGCAGATACAGTAGGGTAAAATAAGTTCCCTAGGCCTCCTCAGAAGGTATGACTGGACCCTCCTGGCACCCACCCCAGTCCCACCTTCGAAACGAAGGTACTTGGAGCCCTAGGGATTCCTACATTTCCCGGAGGGGTTCAGGTTCCTTTTCAGGCATTCCTCTGTCCATCTCGGAGTCCATCTGCGCGTGAAAGGTCGATGGTGATCCGGGCTGGGAACGCCCGGTGCCCGCTCTCATGATGACGCCGATGAAGGAAGCAAACCATGGCGATGACGCCGATGACGAACAGAACAGGAGATCCAGTGGCAACAGAGAGGATTCAACCAAGAGCTGGGGGGGGGTACTGACATTCACTGACTATAGCTCTTGTTGAGCCACAAGCAATTTGAACATGATCGTATCTAAAGTCCTCGGCCGAGGACACGGACCAACGGACCGTCGACCACTCGACCCCTGAGGCTTGTTCTATGTCTCAGAGGCATCCAGAACATGCATTAGATATCTTTATGCTGCGTCTTTCTGCCGACATTCTGCCTAAAACAACTTAGATTCTGCCAACAAACATCTTGATGACCTCCATGAAATCCTGAACATCTGTCTAAAAACAAACAAAACAACTTGAAAGCATCCCTGTTGATGTTCAAAGGAGAACCTAGGTCCCTGCATTTCCTAGTGGAAATGTCATCGGGGAGTTGAATCCCCACACTAAGCCCAGTAAACCCATGACCCACCCAAACCTCGCAGCCCACCACATCCACCCCCACACATTCACCGCATCCACTCGTTGGAACGCTGCATCCTGCCGAACCCGTTCAACAAGGCCCAGGCAGCTGACCATCCCTCTGAACCCCCCCCTTGTTTTCCAGTAGAGGTTGAAGAACCCTATAGACATCTATAGACTATGTGAGTATCCTATAGTTACCCCTGTATAGGGTCCTAGTTCAGGTCACTTAACCTCTGTTGGTTGGTCCGAACCCCCCCCCCCGCGGCCTCTCCAACTTCATCTCTTCCGTGGTGTGATACCGCACCTCGCACGCGTCGCAGCCATCCAACAGCGCAGCGCTCCAAGTGCCGGCCGCCAGCAGGGCGTAGAACCCAAAGAACTCGTCCACGACCTCGATGCGCGAGGACTGCGCACCAGCGCGATGACGTGCGCGCGGACGGGGAAGTCAGGAGCTATTGGCTGAAGGGCAGGCGGGTTGTGTGGTGTGCTGTTTGGTGTCCCATCTCGACATCATGTACATTCGGGTGGAAGAGACCCACATGTGCCACCGGGCTTGGCATGGACCAGACTGGAAGACGACTATACATTCCTCTACAACCCGACGTGGCTTTCAGATTCCATGTGGGTCTCAGAACCAGACGCATACAGCCAGTCATCACCAGCACTGATGAGACCGAGGTATTTGCCAATTAAGAGCCAATCTTGTGTTGTGAGTTCACCATGGAATGAAGAGAGAGAGAGAGAGAGATGCACAAACACAAACATAAAGAGATGTTAAGTGACCTCACAGGACCCTACTGGGGTACCTATATGGGATAGTCGAACTAGGGTTCTTCAACCTCTGTTGGTCAAGCGTATTGCACCACAGATCATCTGTGCTCGAAAAACTGCCTACCCGAAACGACGCTGCGTTCGTCAAGTCTCCCAGCCAAACACTTGGCGTGAGATCCCCAAGGGGTGACTGTGATTCCCACACGCGACGTCCATGGGACTGGCGTATTGACCGATCAGTTGGGGTGGTTTTTCTCCTGGGATCAATGTCGTATATGTATAAGTAACTATACCAGTCCAAGACAGGTCGTGTCTGGGATTTGTCGTGAATCCGCCAAGATTTGTGTCCAAGACTTCCAGGCAAAAGCCATGCGGCGATTTCTCTGACCATAGGAGCTGATTCGGCGGAAACAAGAAAGAAACACTCTGCTGAATGTACATGATAATTAAAATATGATAGTGATACATAAATACAATTGTTTATAATACATACATAAGACATGTTACAGTATATCGATTAAGTAACAATTAATACAATATGCATGCTGAAATGAATATTCATTGTACCGTATATCTATACTTAATATATTATGCATATCTCATATATATATATATACTAAAAATAATAGTACATGCTACTATGATATTACTGGATTATACAGTACTTGAGTAGTATCATTTAACATCGATACACCCCTCCACCATGGAACTGCACTCGGCCCAGCCACGCGCACTCGGAACTGCAACAGACCCTGTTTGCTCAGAACGCCACCGCGGCCCGCCGCGGCGAGCCGCGCCGCGGCCCGCGACGCGCGCCGGGCGCAGGTGCTGTTGTCCAGGCGCAGGACGGCACGCCTCGCAAAGTCGGTGGGTTTTGGTGTGGAGAAGACTGAGATGAGGGTCCCATGAGGAGTATCAAAGATGTGAAACATGTTGGGTAAGATCTGACATGAACTGACCCAAACACATGCCAAGGGGTAGTGGAAGTAACTGGCGCAGGGTATGCCATTAACATTCGTATCGAGGTGTTTAGGTGCATCTGAATCCTAACCCAACACCCTGAAATCCTTCTTTGGACATGCGATAAATGCACTCTTCTCCCTGGTTTAAAAGGTCGCTTCACTTCTGGAATACCTCTATGGTAAAAAGGTACCTTGTGGCGCTCCTTGTTCTGATGATAAGAAGCTGGGTCTCTGAAAGAGTTGCCATTGCCAAACGATAGCATTATTTGGCCGAGCAAGTGCTGACCAACATATCTTTCTTCAATTGGGTCTGACCAACCGCAAAATTGGACAGTCATCAAACATGGGCGCGATATAAGGCGATATACCGTACCGATATGTAATGGTATTATCAGCCTAGTGAAACCATACAAGTAACCTGCAGCTTTAAGCCGCGTGTTCACGGAAGTTCCTGCAACCTGGCCAACGACCGGCGCAGCCGCCTGATGGCCCAGCGATAGCCAGCATAGAGCCGCTTGAAGTGCTGCTCCACCTTGAGCTGCTTCAAAGGGACGTCACCCCAGAAGTAGCCTCAGCCGCGCAGAAATCGACCCTCCAGATTGAGATGGAGACAACATGAGACAAACAATAGTGGCCGGAGAGTACATGGCACAAATGTCCAAGTTTGGTGGTTTAGATGGAGACCCATCTAAAGGACATGTAGGGGTGCCAGTGCCATTACTCTGACCACGGGGAGGCAGAATCCATCATAACACAACAAAACCAAGACTCTCCTAACGCATCTGACGTCTGACCTTTCTTTCGGCCTTGGGGCGCTGGGACTGGGGGAAGTTCCGCTCGGCGTGAGGCCAGGCCAAGGAGTAGAACGTCTCCCAGTGCCCTGGGCGGGCGCAGAAAGTGGGAGGGCCCCAGGCGGTTTTGGCCTTTGTACCTATAAAGGACATTTTGTAGGGACCCATGTAGGGACTCAAATCCAATTCAAAAAAATGAACGCAGCGCGGAGAGAAATCAACGAACTGGGCGTTTGTATTTTTAGGTTTGCACATGCGTGCTATATGTGCTATCTGGGCATCGTCTATATAGTGATATCTGCGGTGATCTAAAAACTGTTTATATTGGATGCCTGTGAAGTGCGACCACTCTACTCCAGCTCTCCACAGGCATGGTGCAACAAACCAAGTGCGACATGGCTATGGCTAGTAGCTTCTGGCGCCGGCGGAATAGACTCCCAACTGCGGAACCGAAGTCAGGAACGTACCGAAGACGTACCGAATACGAATGACGTCTCCAGGCGAAAACAACAAGGGACGACCTCTTTCATGGCATTGCCTTCGAATTTTCCTGATCCCATCACGTGGATTTGGTCTCTGAAGGGGGGCCAGTTCCTCGTCCAGTCTGCCCCTGACGTAGTTTCTTGGTTCGCGCTGATTCATGATTTCTGCACGGTTCTTCCTGCTGAGCCATGACTTGTCTAACTCGGCCTATCTATGGCCCCATGGGGCGACTGTGTAATGGGACGTGCGCCTCGAGTCTGGCAAACCCATCGGTTTGAGGCCGTGATCCGTGATGAGTTGCTTCCCAATGATTGATGTTTCCAGCCACCCGTGACATAACTGGTTTCACGTGATGTTCAACTCGTTTTCACGTGCTTCTTTAATCGCTTTCTACAAATGGAGAGAGCATGAGAAAGCATGAGAAGAGGTCTTGGGAACAACAGCTGGTCCTCCAATCAGACCCAAGGCCCTGCAGCTGCTCCCCGCGCCTGTCAGTAGCCCTTGCATATTTGCATACAAGCCTCGGGATGTCCAATCTTGCCCTTGCAGTCACGTTCCAACACGTTCCAACACACACACACACACCACGTGCAGCATCAGGTTTATGTGTTCCGAGTCCTGCTTGGCTGCAGAGCCCTCTCATGCTTCACGCAGTTACGCCAGCACAGAGATGCTTGTTTGTCGAAAACGCACCTTGCAAAACCATCTCTTCATATTTAGTGGGGAAACCAATCCCCAAAAAAGGTTATTCACTGACGACTGGGTAGGCGCCTCACCTATAATGATTGGAAAGCACACCCAAAATGCTTGGCTGGCATCAAATCCTATGTCCACCACCAATCGCTCGTCCCACCACCAATCGTGGTCGCCACTTGACTAGCCAAATACCTCCGGGATGTTCTCCAGTTTTCCCCGCAACCCTCTGAAGGAAGTCACGGATGATGGCAGTGAAGACTTCCTCCAACATGAGACGCTGTGGAGAGCCCCTCGGCCAGGCGTTCCACACCTCCTCAAAACACGTGCGGAGCGGCGGTCCAGGGCGAGCTCCAACGCAGCTCGCGGGTTTGTTCAGGCACCCCATTGGCCCATGTCCATTGATGTAATGGAGGAGTGCTCTAAAGTATGAGACATATACCACTACATATACCATACACCTAGATCTTCCAACAAGTTCTTCCTTATAAAACAATAGAAACTACAAGTCTCACAATCCTGCTCTTTGGGACATGCACATTCAACATATCGAAACGAAACAGGTCCGACAGCCATGATGCCCTTTGAGGCTTCAAGATCGACGAACCGACGCCAGATGTGATGCACGGTGACGCACGGTGACGCCAACATCGACCAGCGCCAGATCGATCGACCAAGAAACACAAAAGCAATACCCTCCCACAAACTAGCATGGAACGCCCGGTGGAGAACAATTTTCCTCTACAACCCAGTGGTTTTGGGGTTCCATGTTAATCTGCAGGGGAGTAAAACAAAAACAAGATGCAGTGTGTACTATTTTATTTGGGAGACACCCGATCGCCCAAATGGGTAGACTCGTCTAGGTGCCTTCTTCAAGGGGATCTATGTGGGGTCTCCCCATTCCAATGCACAATGCACACCCATTCTAACAAATCGATCAAACTAGAGTCCAGTATGTCCTAGTTCTTGGTGAGAGTGCTGTACTTTGCCCCCACAAACTCACCCAAATCAGATCAACGTACAGTAAATCAAAGGTGTTTCATGGTGAATGTCTCCAAGCGAATGTGGCAAATTTCCTGTAAGTTGTCCTTCTCACTCCAGTTTCCATCTAAAAGCAGGATTCACTGCCAAAAGGAAAACCGCCTACGTTCATAGTACGTGGTTCCCAAGAATCCAACTTAGTTCTGCTTGCAAAAACCCTATAGGACTCCAGTTTAGTTTTGTGAACGTTCAAAGCACAGTCAAAGCATGAGTAGACCAGTAACGATCGCCTTGGATTGTGGACCGGGCTCATGACCTGCTGGAGGGAATGCAACAAATCGCTGGGATTCTCGATGCCCAAAAAATCTGGGCCCCAAGCCTCAAGGATTCTCACCACAACTCAACACGTTCTCTCATGCCTACTCTCCTTGCGGCTCTGAATTCATTCATCTCTACATGGATGGTGGAATGGATTGAGCAAATTCAAACACCGGAGGTGGTTTTGGGGTTTCCAGCCAAACTGTCCGGCCATACCGTCCGCCTCTTCTGGGGGCCACAGGGGATCTTCTGCGAAGAAGCTTTCCTGAGGCGTGAGGAGGCGTGGATCTTCCTGCGCCACTCTTGGTATTTTCTCGGACAAATTTTTGGTCGTTTTTGTGTGGAATTAGATGGTGGAAAGGCGTGGCGGGACAGATTGCCGGCAGCCTTGGGAGTGAGCCTCTGGAGCTCCATCCTGCCGTCAGAAAGCACGGCTTCCGGAAGCGGACTATAAGAGAAAGCACGGCTTCTGGAAGAGGACTATAGAAGAGGATTTTTTGTTTTTTGTGCGCAGGCCTCGTCTTTTTCTTCAGCGCTTTCAGGCTGCTCGTCGTCGATCTGTTGGTCAGCCTGCAAATTCTTGGTGGAAAAGTTTATTGTGGCAACGACTGGCACTCCAAAGAGATCACGGTGGTAGGCACAAGTGCCTCCAGCCGTTGACCCAAACTCCACCAAGCAGTCATATTTGCCCTGCAGCTTTTCCTGGTGGTTCACCAGGAATTGAAGGTCCCTGACATCATCTAAGACCAAGCCATCATGATGCCCCCGCTTGAATTGCCGCATGGTCTCAGGAAAGAACTCTAAGGTTCCGATGTTCAACTCCAAAGGCTGTTGGAAAAGACTCTTTGCCCATTCAGTCTTTCCCGAGCGAAAGAGTTCAAATCAAAAAGAAAAGGCCCGCAACTTTTTGGATGTGGATCCATGCAGTAGTCAACTACAACACACCTGAAAGATCCAGCCTCATCTTCAACAGGTGGATCAGTGAGGTCATCGTCCTGCCAAGAGCCCAGAAGGGCACCACAAAATAAGCGGTCCTCGTCAGGGATCTCTGTAGGTTCAAGGTCCTAACCATTCCACATCACGAATCTCTCCAATCAGGTCGTTCAGAAAAAGAAACGCTCCTCCTTCACTGGAGAAGCAATCATCTCGGGGCTTGTGTACCTTCGGTCCTGAAAAACCATAGGTGGGTCAGAAGTTTCCCTAAGACATCAAACACGCTGATCCTCCGTCGGCGTGGTGTCAATCATTGGTGAAGACACCTGGCAAGCATATGCTGGCTAGGGGTTCCAAATCTTCCATGTACAGATTGCCTCAAGTTCACCATCTTCCACAGATGGATCTGGATCAGCTTCATCTTGAACATGAGGCTCGATCTGTGTGGCCGGGCTGAGATTGATCGATGTGCAGTTGCTCATGGCCGTGCACGAGCCTTCCTCCGCTTGGGACGCGGATCTTCATCCATGGCAAGGGAGGCCTGGCAGGAATTAATCGGAGCAGCCCATGTCCGAAGACCAACCATCCTTCAATTCACGCCTCTGATGCACCCGTGCACAACGTGCTCCTGCTCGAGCCTTCCTGAGACCACGGTAGCTAAAGACTATCAAGAAGCTACTAGGGGCTCCTGGCATCGCTACTAGGAGCAAGGACGCTACTAGGGGCTCCTGGAATCGCCTCCTGGCATCGCTACTAGGAGTGGAGTTAGATGGTGGAAAGCTGTGTGGCGACACAGATTGCCGGGAGCCTTGGGAGTGAGCCTCTGGCACGTGCCAGGCAACTGTTTTATGGGCTCCCGAAGGCGACATGCCAGGAAGTCTTCGGGGTTAGGTTTGCTCCAAGCATTCTTGCCCGTGCGGCGCAAGCCTTCACTAGCTCTTTTCATTAGGTTTCGACACTGCCCTTATACGCACCCTGTCAGGACAATATTTTGGTGCTCTTTTGCTGTGGGAACAAGGCACCTACCGGGGCGTTCTCGGCGACGTCACGCATTCTCGCTCGTCGCAGCTCGCTTCTACGTTAGTCGAGTTCTTGCTCCTCGTTTCTACGTTAGGCTTTCACTGCAGGTCCTTCCTACAAAAAGGGGTTGGCGGCACCAGGGCAAAGCCCTTACCAGGGCGAAGCCCTTACAAATCCGGGCGCCGGCCACGCGCCCGTGGCATGCCCGGAGGGCCTTCGGTGGTAACCGAAGGTTATATACGGGCGCCCCTGCCGCCGGACCTCCGGGTCGCTGAAGCCACTGTAATTTACGGTGTTTCGTGTGTGTATGTGAGGTATAAAAAACACTGTGTTTTACAGGGTTTATTGCGTATATCGAAGTGCGACGCGGCGTAGAGGGAGAAATGCCAAAATGCTGGTGTTTTTTCAAGGGTGGTGTCGGTTATGCGCACGACATTTCGTGGGTGTTGGGTACGCGCCAACAGCAAAGGCGGAACATGCGCTCCAAGATGATCTGACAGAGGCCCTCAAGAGGACCCAACATAGGTCCCAGATATGGCACACATAGCCGCAAAATGACCCTACCTAGGATGGGCAACATAGCCCCTGGATGGGCCCAGATTGCCTCAAGATGTGGCAACATAGGCCCCACACAGTTTCAAAGAGAGAGAGAGAGAGACAGAGACAGAGACAGAGACAGACAGAGAGAGGAGAGGGAGAGAGAGAGAGAGAGACAGGACCAGCCCTACACAGACCCAAGTGGGCCCGCGCCCGGCTGTTAGGCGTAAGCCTTTAAATCCGGGCGCCGGCCAGGAAGCCCGTGGCATGCCCGGAGGGCCTTCGGTGGTAACCGAAGGTTATTTAAGGGCTTACGCCCGACAGCCGGCCAGGGGCCCAAGCAAAGGGGAGGGGGCAGGGAAAAAGGGGAGGGGGCAGGGAAAAAGGGCACGGGGGCGTTGTTGCTGTTGTCGTTGTTGTTGGTGGTGTTGTTGTTGGTGGTGTTGTTGTTGGTGGTGTTGTGGTTGTGGTTGTGGTTGTGGTTGTGCTTGTGGTTGTGCTTGTGCTTGTGCTTGTGCTTGTGCTTGTTGTTGTGCTTGTGCTTGTGCTTGTGCTTGTGCTTGTGGTTGTTGTTGTTGTTGTTGTTGTTGTTGCTGTTGTCGTTGTTGTTGTTGTTGTTGTGGTGGTTGTGGTTGTGGTTGTGGTTGTTGTGGTTCTTGTGGTTGTTGTGGTTGTTGTGGTTGTTGTGGTTGTTGTGCTTGTGCTTGTGCTTGTGCTTGTGCTTGTGCTTGTGCTTGTGCTTGTTGTTGTTGCTGTTGTTGTTGTTGTGCTTGTTGTTGTGCTTGTTGTTGTGCTGCTTGTTGTTGTGCTGCTTGTTGTGCTTGTTGTTGTGCTTGTTGTTCTGCTTGTTGTTGTGCTTGTTGTTGTGCTTGTTGTTGTGCTTGTTGTT